ATTATCTGTAAAAAATTAATATGATAACTATATTACTCGAAATAACATAACGCTTAAAATTTTATATAATCGTGGATTGTAAATGTAGTTAATGGAGTTTAGGTGCTTTACTTAATTAATATTTATTAAAGGTTGTTATTTTAGGGTGTACGGAACGTGGTTAAGAAAGTTAATAATTTATTATCTGTTATCAATTAATTTACGTGAATTAGCTATTAAATTAAAGTCATTAATTATATAATCTTTACAAACCTTTAATTTGAATAAAATATTGTTCGTCATACATGTCATGAAATATAATGAATTTAACAAATTATACGATTTATTCGCCTCGATATAGATTTGCGATGAGATATGTATTATAAGTATTACAGCAAAACACATTGAAAACAAAAATAAACCGATTCTTAGATAGAAAACTATATGAGTAAAAATCAGTGAATAGCTTGTGGTGGCTATTATCACAATCAAGGTAACCCATATATTACATAAATATTTTGACCAATAATTGCTATTGTATTCTGAAATCTCCAAATAAATGTCATTTAATTGCTTAATTAAAACGAAAATCTTGTTATTATAATAACTACTATTTAAATGTAAAGTAGTTAAATAACTTAAACGTTTCATTTCATTATTAACAATATTTAGTTTGGCATTCAAATAATATACGATCAAATAAAAGTATATAAATTGCCATAATAAAATTTGACATGTATAAATACCAGTCAATATAAAAATTATAGTGTTTGGCAAACCATAGATGAATAAGTCAATTGTGGATAAGTTTGAATAAAAACTTATAAAAACAACCAAGAATACTTGAATTGGTATAAACTTATTATATTGATTGCCTAATATAATGACTCTTTTAAACATTAAGTTAAGTTTGAATACTATTTTTGTATCAATTAATCCCATACTTTGTGGTGTAATTAAGCCGGACATCACGTGAAATATACGCAAATCTGTAGGTTTTGTTTGGTTCATGTAGTTAACCAAGAATATAATTTGTGATACCATGGCCTGGATGTGTAGCAATGCCAGTGCGATGTGGCACTGGATGCGAATACACATGAAATGTGCGAAATCACCCATAAATGCGTGAAATGTATGACTTTTCTCCGGCAATACTATCAATACGAGTGAACGTATTAATTGTAATAACAATACAATAATTGGTTTGAAAAACATATTTCTCTCGATATTCCCGGTCTTATAGGGAGACAAACCGATCCGATAGAGATGACTACCGGCGCTAATGATTACCCTTTCCTTAGGTATTAATTGTGATGCACCAAAAACTTGCAACATTTCAAATTATCTGATAATTATAAGTGTAACATGTAAGTTGAACAAGTACAGTATTTATGCACTAATAAATGATATTAGTTGTATCATAACTATTAGACTAAAAATAGTTAAACCAAAATTATTAAAAGATATTTGCTAATTATTATTCTCGTTAATTGATCATCTAGTACAGTACATTAAATGTATTTATATGTTTAAGTACAAATATAATTATCCAATAAACTAATTATCTTAACTAATATGTTATGTTAATTAGTGTAACTAATATATTTTGAATACTGGTACTTTATTTTTAAAAGTCAATACACGATATATTTATTGAATTTACATAATTTATAATAACTTGATAATTAATAATAAATAAATTAACATTAAATGTCATTGACTAAACATTGAGTTTATAAAATAGTTTTATATTCATAATAAAAATAATTTTCATAATATTCTACTGTATATTCAGTGTTCATTAAGTTGCATCTAATGACTTTATTATTATATTGCACTACTTAATTAGCATACACAAACAACACTGTATTTATTTAATAATGTGTTTAAATGACAATTACCGGTAAGGACGACTATACAGTATAGTATTGAAAGCATAATTTAGTAATAAAATTGAATATTTATTATAGGTTTGTTTTTTGAACTCGCGAGTATTATTAGATAAACTACGGTAAGTGATTATTCGACCAATAACATTTTATTAAATTACACATACCATTAATTACTATATGTACTAACAATAGTTAATTAATATTATTATTAATTAATTAATAAAGTATTTGTCACGATATTGTTTGTAATAAAGCATTAAATATTTGATCATGTTATTTTCACTGTAATGAATATAATATAGAAACCGACTCAATGATAATGAACAATACTATTTAACAACTGAATGTATGGTAAGGTTTTACATAAGATGTAGTGCTCTGTATTAGAGCTAAACACAGACTTATTGTATGGCATAGAGAGACCATCTCTTAAATAGCATTTGTAGAGCTAATTGTGAGGTTAGGTGAGTAAAGTACAGTACAGTAGGAAAAGTACTGTATGTGAGGCACAGGTATGACTGTAAGGAATGTTCTGGAGTGGTGTACGTGAGGTACACCTGCCGCTAATGACTCGTGTAGAGTGTAGTCAAGGATAGGGATTGTGCAAGGATCGTTACTATATTCTAAATTTTAAAGTTATTTTCAAGTTATTTACAATTATCAAATTAATGTATTAAAAGAAAATATATTTATATTATCATTTCATAATAACTAAATTAATTTGAGAAAAAGCAACATGATATACGATATAATCTGCAAAATTAAAAATAAATCTTAAAACACTGTTTAAGAGTATGTAATATATACCTCATATCCACGAAATGAATTAATTATAAATAGTTTCCAACAATAAAATCCCACTCTTTTAGTGCTAATCCTCTCGATTAAGTTTAATAACTATTAAAAAATAAAACAATTTATTATTAAATGTTTGATAATGCCAGTAATCTAACTTATTTCTACCTTAAATCTTAATTGTGTGTTTATTTCACGCCTAGTAGTATATAATGAATTGAATAGTTTGTATGATTTATTTGCCTCGATATAGATTTGAGACGAGATATGAATTATTAGTATCAATATTAATGAGAAACTGATTACAAATAATAACAATCCGATTCTCAAATAAAAGTGAATTTTAGTAAAAATCAATGAATAAGTTGTGGTCGTTATCATAACACTTAAAGTAAACCAAACGTTACATAAATATTTAGACCAATAATTGTCGTTATATTCTGAGATTTCCAAATAAATT